CACCTCGTAGAGGTCCCCAGGGCGCTTGATGAGCCCACAGCGCCCATCCCAGCAGTCTCCCTCCAGGCTGGCTGGTGAGGTGTCCACCCTGGCATCCCCCATGGCCTGCAGCCCCACTCGCAGGACTTGCCCATGGGCTGGGACACGAGTTTTGGAGACCACCCGCCCATCAGCTAGCAGTCGCATCTTCTGGAGGTCATCATTGGAGAGCCACGGGGGAGCATCCCCCACTGCCCTCCGTCGCCGCTGCCTCCTGCCCCGTCTTGGGGGCTGGTCCTGCCATGGGTGAGCAGGGTCCATGGGGGAGCTTTTGCTGCGGGCTTGTCCCCCAGGTAGGGGGGCAGCCGCCTTCCGCTGGGGGCCTGAGGGTGACGATGTTGGTGGCAGGTGGGGGGAGCGGTCCAGTGACGGGGGCAGGCGGGCAAGGGCCAGCAGGGCCAGGGCCAGCAGCAGCCCGAGGGCCACTGGGGTGGGGGGCTTCAGCCCTGTCCTTCGCCACAGTCGCTGGGTCTGCAGGGAGAGAAAGGGAGATTGTTACTGGGGGTGCCAGGGGACGATGGATGCTACAGCTGGGGCATCCCTGGACCTGTGTGTCCCCCACCCCAGGCAGTGCTGATGGGAGGTTCTTGATGAGCTTAACGGGGTTTGGTTTGGGCACATTGCCATGTTTGCAGCGGTGATGCACAGATCACCCTATGGGTGATGAATTCTTCATGGTCCAATATTTTGCTTTAAAAACTAAAGGAATGGGGAAAAAAAAAAAGCAAAAGATAGAAAGAGCATCCATAAGTAACAACACTCCCCTGGTCTTCTCCAGGTGACCTTTTCCACCCAACCTGAGCTACTTTGCTCCAGTTGTTTTCAATTTGTTCCTGGGCAAAATGATCTGTGATGCTGGTAGGATTGCCCATGGAGAGACATCCCAGTCACACCTTTCACTGGTGCTTCAGGAAAGGGATGAGTGGTCTAAAGCTTCTGCAAAAGCAGCTATCATGCAGAGGCGAAATAGCGCTGTGCACAATTCCCTGTCTCCTACTGTTATCGCATCACTGCTGCCAAAGACCCTCCTTCCCAACACCAGCAATTGCCTACTGGAGCAACTGCACCATGCAAAATTAGAGCATGCAAAACTGGAAACAGAAAATATTATTCTTTTATCATGATGGAAGAAAAAGGCTGGATGGCCCCACTGCCTTTCCATCCACCACAGGCTGTGGTTTGCTGTGGTCTCACCTGCTGCATCCACCCACCACGACCCCCAGATATGGGAGGGAGACCTCACAACAAACTCTGCTGAGGGCCTGTATGGTGCAAAGTCATTTCTACCACAATATGGGAATCTGAAAATATCTGTAGGATTTGAGGTGGGTCCCCACCACCCCAGTCACACAGAAAAGCCTGGGGCTGAGGCAAAGCACTGCCATCCACTTCTCATGCAACTGCATCCTCCTGTGACTGGGGATCTGTGTAGCTGAATAAGCACTAAAGGAAATTGGGGAGCAGAAGGGGGGATGTAACGTGCGCTGTGATCTGGGATTGCTGCACACAGACAGGTGGGAAAGGCTGCCTTTGCACAGTGCCTTTGGTGTGCTCGGCAGGGCTAGACCAAACCAGAGCAAATTCCTGGCTGGATGTGAACCTTTTCCAGTTCCTAAGAAGTTTTTATCTTCAGATCTTACTCTGGACACCCTCAGTGGCTCCCACCCTGGTTGCGCATTCAGCCTTTAACCTGGATCCCCACACTCTCTTTCAGAATGTTATCCCAAATACAGGTTGTTTCACTCAATGTGCAAAAAGCCGATCCATGCACAGTGTCGAGATGCTTACTTTATGGACATTCTTGCAACCTATGGAGTGCACAATTGGAAATATTAAATTAACTCATGCATTTCTATATATGCCAGAGTGTCCCCTCCCATCGTCAGGGCTAGATCTGCTTTGTAAATTAAATGTTCTGCACATCCCTCAATAGACTGCACGGAAGGCCCATATCTTTACTAACAGATAAGACTTCGGAAGGATCTGAGAGCAGCATCCCAGACACAGTACTGAATGCAGTAATTTCTCTGGTGTGAGCCTTAAAAAAAAACAGGTAAAGCAAAAATGTGACCCCTGGTCAGGATAAAACTTAAACTGGGAGCCAATCTGTTACAACGAGATCAAAATAGTTAAAGATTTTCTTAATAACCAGTGACTTCTGAAAAGGCCCATCCTTTACAACAAGTTAATGATTTACCTAGAATAGAAAAGCGAATAGCAGACCACCTGGAAACCTGGTTTATACTAAACAATGTGATTTGTTTAATAAACAAAGTTTCCCTAAGTGATAAACACCAAGCGCAATCAGCAAACCAGAAAGAACAGCCTGGAACTGCCAAGGTAAAGGAAAGGTAATTCCAGTAGGGAGAGATCATGACCATCAACTCATTGACGACTTACACAAATTATACCTCCTACTCAAAAGAGAACAATAGAAGTAGGAAACCGAGCATGCGTTCTAATTTGCATCCTAGGCGAAGAAATTTTAACCAATTGTTTAATAGAATAACAATGTATATGTATTAGAATAATCAATATGTTAATGGTTTGTGGACAAATAATTGTTGATTTGGAACTTTGGTGTGCTGTCTTGCAGCAGGCACACATATATACATATATATGTAATAAAAGGAAATACCTCCACTCTGTGTGTGGACTGGTGTATTGCACAGTGGGTGAACAAACCTCAGGTTTTGGGACAAGTCCAGTGAGAATAAATCAATATCCTATTAGACTGGAAGCACATAACAGATTGGAACACTTGATAAATACTTCTATACAGTAAACAAATACTTACTTTACTGTTTGGGACTTTAGAAATTCTTTCTTTTGCATCCCAGTGAACAAGCAAAGTCAAACAATCTTTGCCTTTGAATGGGAAAACCGCTTGACAAGAAGAAAAGTGCAATTGTGTTGGACTGTACTTCCTCAAGGATTCAGGAGTAGCCCTACCCTGTTTGGTAACATATTAGCAAGGGAACTGGAGCAATGGTAAAGCAGTAACACCCAGGTGACTTTCGTGCAATATGTTGATGAGCATACTTTTCCAAACAAATTGATGAAGTGAGCAAGGGATGGCCAGCATGCTTGTGAGCCATGGCTACTACAGCTTTGCTAATCCAAGAAGCCCGAAAGCTCCCTCTGGGACAACCTATAACTGTATTCATCCTTCATGCAGTGATGGCCATCTGAAATGGTAAAGGACACCACTGGATTTCTCCAAGTCGTTTGGCAAAGCACCAAGCCATCCTAACAGATCAAGAGGATGTGACTCTGACTGTGGTGTCCACTCTAAATCCAGCCACTTTATTGCCTAAAGCTGGACGAGAACAATTACAACATGACTGCCTGGCCACTATTGAACAACTTTATGCCAGTAGACCAGATTGAAATGCAGTAGACCATTGAAAAATGTGAACTTGGACCTATACCCAGATGGTAGCAGTCTATGCATAATGGAGCAAGAAAAGCAGGATATGCAGTATTAACACTCTGGAAAGAAATGGAAGCTAAATCACTGGCCCAAAACACCTCAGCACAAAAGGCTAAAATAATTGCACTGACCAGAACCCTTGAAATAGGAAAAAAAACCAAAGAATACACGTAACTGGGGCCTCGACACCTGGCCAAGAAATCAGCATGAGCCCTTCCCAGTACTCCGAGGAGAACTGGTTGGCAGAAATGCTAAAGTGCTCAAAGAATGCAGGAAGATGGTGGATAACACCAAATCAGCAGGTTCTCACTACAGCCAAAATGATGGAGACCCTCCTCGAGAAGTTACATGATGAAACTCATAAGGGAGCAGATGCTATGATAAGCGATGTTAAAAGATATGCTATAGGGCCAAACATGCAAACAAATGCAAATATAATAGTAAGAAGATGCCAAACTTCCTGTGTAAATAACCCCAAGATACACAGAAAACCTCCTGCAGGTGATGCAAAAAGAGGGATAGCTCCCGGGGAACACTGGCAAATAGATTTCTCTGAGTTACCAAAGTGCCAGCAGTATAAATATCTACTCATTTTTAGCAGGTACTTTATCAGGGTGGCCAGAAACCTTCCCTTGCCACACCAATTGGGCGAGAGAAGTTGTTAAAGCGTTACTCAAGGAAATAACCCCTAGATTTGGAATCCCTGAAGGGCTATCTTCAGACAGCGGGCCACACTTTATCTCAGAAGTAGTCCAGTGAGGGTCAAAGTTTCTGCAATTTAAATGAGATTTGCACAACCCTTGGAGGCCACAATCTAGTGGAAAAGGAGAAAAATGAATCAAACTCTTAAAAGGCAAATTTCAAAATTGTGTCAAGAAACCCATCTCAAGTGGGCAGATGTTTTACCACTCATCGTAATGAGAATTAGAATTACTCTGTGAGCTAGAGAAGGGGTAAGTCCTTTGAAATATCATATGGGAAACCATATCCAGTCACAAGTATAGGAACTCAGAACAATCAGATGCACATCAAAAGGGAAAGGATGTTAAAAGATCATTTGCTCTTTCACACGTTTTATCATCCTTACAGAGGTACCTCAGTCAGTCAGCTCCCTTGCCTTTGGATGTGCTGGTACACAATTTCCAACCCGGAGATTCAGTCTACATACATTCCTGGAAAGATGAACCACTGAAAGAAAAATGGAAAGGACCTGACGCCATACTGTTGACCACCTACACCACTGTGAAAGTGGGAGGAATTAACTCTTGGATCCACTACACACGAGTCAAGCCAGCCCTCTCCCCAGAGCCTGAAGAAGAGTAGAAAGCCATCAAAGACTGTACTGTTGTGTAACCGTGTTGTAAAATGAAAAGTTACACCTTTTTGTTTCTTTTCCAGATTGTAGAATCAACCATGCTTTTCCAGAATTAAGTTCGGTCTGAGAATGTGTGGGAAAACCTTGCCAGGAACATTGTGAACACTACTTTTTTTGTTGTTTAGCTGGAGGAATATCTGTAGAACAAGTTTTCACTTCTTGCTTATTGGGAGTACCAATATCCCCTCTACTTTTGAAACCATGATTTTAGCAGTTGTTGTATGCCACAATGTTTCCCCATCTGTACAGATATCTTGAAGACAATTTGGAAAGGAAAAATAAGGAAAGGAGTCTTCTAGTAAAGAAAGGAGATTACAACCCTTTTACCAAAGAAACAAAGGAAAAAGAACTGCACACACAACATCAAGACTTACAGAAATCTAGAAAGAATATAAGTTTCAAAAGGGGGGAAATCAATTTAAGTTATGTCACCACATTACCAGGTTGATGATAAAGTCAATTTGTAAAGACCTGGCTAAGCATTTAAATTTAAGAAATGAGGAGCCACATATCCTGTTGTACCAGGATCTTGGCAATTTGGCCACGTAAATGTTTAACTAGTTGCAAAATTCTTGTCCTTTAGCAGAATTTTACTCATTTTAAATACAGAAACCACACTCCTGTCACTGAAGCTGCTCTCCTCCTGAAGAAGACCCTCACCCACTGAGCATGCACATTGATTTTCTAAAGGTTTATACCTTTAATTGTAGATAAAGAAAACTTGTAGCCATCAGAAGAGGTTTTAGTAGACTGATTATCAACAGAAATGTTATAGCTTCTACATGTGTAATTACAAACGCATAAATAGCATCATTTTGAGCACGTAGGTGTGCTAGCTTTGTGATTTTGCCACCTAGCACCCCTTTTCTGTGCAGAACTGGGATAAAGCAAATATCTTGACTCTGTGTGCGGATCAGCTTTTTGCACACCAGGTGAAAGAACCCATGTTTGGGACAACAAGAGGATGTCTCAACATGTGCCGAGACATGGCCTCTGGAGCTCTGCCCACCGCTGCATCCGGCAAAAGCAAGGCAGCACCGAGTGCCAGCTGGGGGCTGTGGCAG